TGCATCAGAATTTTATATATGAAGATTAAGAATGTGTAATAAACAATTCCTGAACTAAATTACATCTTACAATAATACTATTTGATGAGCAAAGATCCCTCGATTTGCTTCGAAAATCAATATTTACGATAGAAAACTTAATCACATGAGGTATTAGCTGAGAATACGAGTAAATACAATTTCATGGTCGGCATAATTAAACGCATTGGGGTGTGATGCGGGTGTACGCCCCACTGGATGTCAGATTGCAATTAGTCTTATAAATGTACGTTGTATTATATTGTAAGAAAACGTTGCTAGGATGTGATATACAGGATGTTTTATTTATATAATTTAACTAGCGATTCACCCTCGCTTCGCTCGGGTTCGTCCCTAGCTTGTTTCCCCATATAAACTTTCATCCCCATTTTCACCCCCTTAAGGGATGATTTCTGGGATAAAAAGTCCTTTGTCCTTCCCAGGGTCTTAAACTATCTTTTTACCAAATTTCATTTGAATCAGTTCAGTAGATTCAGAGATTACCCCCTACAACGTCACAAACTCACAATCTCACAAACTCACAAACTTTACCTCTTTGTAATATTAGTATAGATGAAATATTATAATAAAACATATAGACGAACATGTCAAATTTATAAGGGTTCCGTTTTAGCCTTTGGGCTACCCATTAAACCCTAAAAACCACTAGATTTATAAAAAAAATGTTAACTTGATCAGTGATTTAAAAACTATAGGTAATGAGAGCTATCCTTTATGGTGGCACCAGTTGGCGGCACTGACGAGTAAGGTCACATCGCTGTCGTTAAAAAATATTTGTTAGTGCAGCAGGGCCATAAAAATGTAATAATAATAATATTGTTTGCGCGGCTGCAGTTTATCAGGATTCTGTTTTAAATAATTAATATATAATAACCAACCAAATAGATAAAATACTGACTTTCCTTAGCTCTACTTTTATAGCAATAACATTTATTGAACCTTACCGGGTGTGCCATAATAAATCAGGAATGGAAAGTACAATGTTTACAACAATCATGAATAATTAGTGAAGATTCGTAATGAAAAGCTCGCAAAGCATAATCATTCAGTGTAATTTGACATCTCTAGAGATCTTACTCTACACTAGCGCCTCTAGTGGCGAATTCAAGCACAGTAGCTCTCATTGGTTTAATTACCCATAGTTTTTTATAAAAGATATGCTATAATAAACTAATTACTATACAAATAAATACAACAACCAGATTTTTGATTAAAAATGTTTGGTTCCTAGGTATTAAAAATATTCGAAAGATCTCACTAGTCTTAAACATTCGAAAGTAATACTATCCACGGTACATTGAAACTGAATGACAAATCCGACAGTGAAATGGTAGGTGAGGTATTTAGTTTTTGAATCCAACACATTTTTTATATTATAATATTTTTTATATCTATATATATAAAAGAAAGTCGTGTTAGTTACTTCGCTTATAACTCAAGAACGGCTGAACCGATTTAGCTGAAAATTGGCAGGGAGGTAGTTTAGAGCCAGGAGAAGGACATAGGATACTTTTTATCCCGTTCGACCGCGTTCCAATTTTTATGATATTTTAATTTTTGGATTTCTCTTAGTCCGGAATAGGTAAGTATTAAAACATATAATTAAAATGTGAGAAAGAAAGATTTTTTCTTTTTATATCTATTTAAAACGTACCTAGCGACGAACCCGAGCGAAGCGAGGGTGAGCCGCTAGTTTTATTATATATAACAGCTTTATTAGTATAGAAGGTAGCTTGTACACTACAGATCAGTAGGTCCTAGGTTCGATTCTCATGTCCAGCGACCAAAATAACAGCTTGGAGTTGGGAAATTGGTACACCCCTGTGTTTCGGAGTGTCCTATGCCTGCTCTCTTACCGGTCGTGTTGAGATATAAATTTTTTATCCTTGCTGCATTAAACTCTTAAATTATCAGATAATTTTTTGACATTCATTCTAAATATTTTTGTTATAACTTCATGTAACCAATATTTTTAATACCTACTTATTGTTAAAACAAAAACTACAAATGTATATAGGTATATAGGTCTCTATCTTTAGATACCTATATAGTAATACCTATGTGGTTTTAGAAATATCTGGATTTTTTCTAACACAAAGCAACGTTTTATAAAAGCAAGTAAACTTTCAGCCATTATTCACGGTTCATGGCTGGTATAATCAAAGGAGTACGTGTGATGTGGAAAAAGCGTTGGGCGAGTGAGTGAACGTGACACGTTGAATATTCACCGAAGTTATTAAATTAATAGGAAATTAATAAATTTAACCTACGGCTATATTTTAAAATGTAATTATTTTAACAATGGAATGTCACACGTTTTAAAAATCATTTAATAAATTTAAAATGACCTATATGCAGGAAATAACAATAATATATGGATAGTAAGAGAAGTTTTATATAAACTACTAGCGGCTCACCTTCGCTTTGGTCGGGTTTGCCTCTAGAAAAGAGAGAACCTAGCAAGTTTTCGAAAGACATGTGAAGTCCGCCAACCCGCACTTGACCAGCGTGGTGGACTATGACCTATAATCCCCCTCGTATTGAAGGGAGGTCGTACCCAGCAGTGGGACGCTAAAAAGGGCTGAATACATACATAAAAAATGTAATAACTATCATAAAATCCATATATTAATTTTAAGTTTATCTAACTGTTTGAAGACTTATCGCATTAGAATTTTTTATAATGTGTGGCGAAAAATTCCGATTTCGTCATAAAACATTCAATTAGGTATACCGTCGAGATGATCGTCTAAAAATATACTGATATATATGTGAATGTGAACAAGTAAGAGCTTGTCAGCTCTCATCCCACTTTCGGTCTACATTATAGGTTAACACAATATTTTCCAACTTACTGGTAGCGTACATCATTGTCAATTTACTCGTATATGAACATTTCGGTTTCGCTAAAATCTATTGCAGCCAAATGCAGCCGTATTTCTTAATAATTTTTTATCTAAATAAAGTTATATTCTGTCTTTGATGAATATATATAATACTAGCAGAACCCGCGGTTTCGTTCTCGCTAAAATAAATATCTAAAAAGGTAGTTTCATACAAATTTTCATCCCCTATTTTATCCCCTTATAGGATGAATTTCGAAAAATGCTAAAACACGTATTTACTTAATTAAGATTGAATTGTTTCAAGTAATTCTGATCATAAATATTTTTTGGATTGAATTATAACGAGTATTCTCGTGGGAATTACATAATCTCTCGCGGTAAAAAGAAGCCAATGTCACTCTCCAGCCCTCCAACTATCTCCACACAAAAAATCACGCCAGTCCGTCACTCCGTGTCGACGTGAAAGAAGAACAAACAAACAAACACACTTTCACATTTAAAATACTAGTATGGGTATGGATTTAATATTATTTAATTTGGTCTGTGGATAAGAAATTACTTTTACTTTTTCTAATAATGTTAAGACTCTTATTGATTGCTAGCGACTTAGCCTCGCTCCGTGTACGTTTTAACATTTAGTATAGATTTCTCAGAGATGAGATATTTTCCCGCAGTAAAAAGTATCCTATTTGTTGACACCGATAACCTCAAAATCTGTTCAATAGTTTTCTCGTGATGCTTTTCCAGACAGAGAGACAAACAAACAAACAGACAGACCGACATGCAGACAGACAAAAAAAATCTAAAAATTATGGATTCACCCTCTATATCGATAATAATGGCTATTTCAATAAGATTTTTCAAAAAATATTTAATGTACAAATTCAACTCAGTTATAATTTTATTATATGTATAGAAAATTAATCTGGCGTATACACAACGATAACCTATAGCCCACACAACAAAAAAAATAATAAGGCACTATTTATTGTAAGTATTGCTAAGGGAATTTTAGATGCTCAATAAAACGTGAACATACGATTAGATATATTGTTTTTGCCTTTTATATACTTAATTTTCCTTCGACTAATAGCAACTTAAGCACTCCGCCGGGTTCGTTCTTAGGTCATAGGTGCTATGTATTGGTATTTATAATTTTATTACCAACAGCTATAGCCTATATGTGTGTCTGTGTACTTATCCAAATTCGTCCGTTTTGTTTATTACTTTCGAATTTTCATATATGTATTAAAATAAAACCAGCAATTAATAATGTACACTCGCCAACAATACTTTCAAATCATTCTTTATTTAGTTTAAAAATTGTTGCATTTATTCTCACATCATTTTACTTTATTATTCAAAATTTACTGCATAGTAAGCATGGACTGTAGATTTAGTCATATTTTTTTGTTACATAAAGTATATTTAAAGAATTTTGCAAGCGTTTATAAAGCATGCTCTACACTTTGAATTTTTATAAAGCAGTAAGATAATAAAGATGGCATTCACACTAAACTAACTTCAATTTACAATTCACGCGTAGGACTAACATAGTATCTTATATAGTATAAGAGAAACAAGACTCTATACCATTGCAATAGGTCAGAATAGAAACCTGAAATATAATTACAGACATTAATTATAATTTTATCACCTGTTTAAAAATTTACTAAAATACTTTGTATTAAGTTATATCCTAATCAGAAAACACCTTTTTTGAAGTAAAACTTCTTTAGGCATGACTGAGGGGTAAGTCAATACATTGGAAAAATTAATAATGAATAAATATATGTTTATATTTTAACAATAATTATTAATTATGAATAAAAAAATTATTAAGAAATTAATTTTATAAAAATTATCATATTTTTATTTTCATTTGTTTTAATTTAATTCCGGTATCTGCTACAACGCCAAAGAAGTTTTACTTTAACCGCGCATAAACGTTACACGCACTCATTTATTGAATACCTACTTATATTTTATTATATACATTTTTTACACTAAAATCAAGATCATAAACCTTTCTTCCACAAAAAATTCACATCAACCTTCAATGCCTATAAAGGTTCATATTAATATGTAGGACCATTTTAATTAAAATTGTTTCAGATGACGAGTTTGGTGAGAAATCAGTGTCTGTGCTGTTAGATGGTGAAGAATCAGAACTTATATTCATTGATCATCCCAGCACTGAAATGTCGGTAAGCATAATCACTACTTACAATATTTATAATATTACTAACACAACCCGCGGCTACGCCCGCGTTCAATCTACAAAAAAAACTCTTTGTCTTTATGTTATACAACTATGTATTTATACAATATTGTTCATGCAAAAATACTAAAATCTCGATAAAAATGGGGGAGGGGGTAGGAGGGTGAAAAGTACTTTACAACCTATTCTCATACCTATCCTATACCTACCAGATATACAAAAAAAAAACAAAATCGGTCGTGCCGGAGTTCGTCCACAAACACCGTGACACGAGATATTTATACATTAGGTTTATTACACAATTTTATCTAAATTAAATTACTTCTTAGATTTTGTACTAACCTTGCTCGCTTTAATACGAGTACATCCCTATCCCTAGTCTATGTGCTACTCCAGGTCATAGTTAATCTATCCAGGCCATAGTGTACTAAATTTTATCTTAATTCATTCAGAATATTATGCGTAATGAAGTAATAAGCATACACAGATACCACGGTAATGTAATGCATACATTACATTACCGTGCTTATACGGTATACCAACTTTTGCATTTATAATAATGGTTTGATTATTGTATTTATGTTCTAAATGATAATTGTGACCAAATGATAATATACTGCAGCTTATACGTACATTTACATTCTACATGTGGCCCAATGTATGCATTAATCTATACATATAATCTAACTACGCCGAATCTGTACCTATATTAAATATTTTTTAGAAAATCTTATTGAAGTAAACATTATTATCGATCTATAGTTTTTAGAATTTTTGTCTGTCTGTTACCGCATCACATTAAAACCACTGGAGGGATTTTGATAAAATTTGGTATGGTGATAGCTGGTTATCCGGGTCAACATATAGGATACTTTTTTCCCCGGGAAGATGTCTCATTTCTGAGAAAAAATACAAAAACTGCAATGTAAGAGTATACTAATATGTAAAACCTAAAAATTTGATTTTTGTCATCTAAACGCGGGCGGAGCCGCGGGCAATGCTAGTCAATTATATTAATAGATACGGAATGTGCTTTTTAGAATTTCATCCTTCTAAGCGACATTTTTGAGCAATAATATAGGCAACATAGCTATATATTTTTTTACGATTATAAACGATAAATGTACGGCTTGTAATTATTGCAAATAAAATTTAATAAAAAATAGGGCAAATGGGACTTTTATAAACAGACTTTAACATGGAGCCCTCACTATTATATAAACTTTTAAATATTTCTATAACCTATCTACTAGTGACTACTGGATAGTAGTTGGATAGTAGCCATTGATGACACGTTTGACTCAGTTTGTTGTGTTAGCGGTGGCAGTTCGAGTCCCGCTGGAGGCATTCATTTATGTGATAAGCACGAATGTTTGTACTCCAGTCATGTATGTTTATATTTATGATATGTATGTATTTAAAGTTATATATGTGGAGTGTATCCACTATCTGGTACCCATAATACAAGCCTCGTAGCTTACCATTAATGTAAATTTAAATGAATAAATAATTATTAATTAATATAACAAATTTTACATTTAAATATAACAAATAAAAATAAAACAAATCCAAAATAAATCGTTTGCTTTACAGAATTAAGTATTCACTTAATAAAAATAAGCCAAAACTCAAATTCCAAACATCTAATAAATCCCATTTGCTATTAAAATAATATGAAATGTCTAAAATAATTTTCGTCCCCTCTGAGATAATACGATAAACCTAAGGCGATACAATGTCGAAACAGCCTTTTATCGACAATCATAAATTATTTATCGTCGTCTAACAAACGTCTGTTCAAACTTCGAACGTCTAAAATAATACTCTAGAGACAAATGCTTTTGATCGACTTATGGCTTTACTTTGCGGCTTTCATTAATCGATAATTATTAATTTTATTCGAGTAAACTTTAACAATTTTATAAATATTTGCTTTTTAACAAAATAAGTTTAGCTCACAAATAAGTTAGTTAAACGCAATTGAATGTAATTAATCTTGTAAAATAAACGTGCTGCCTATATAACGATACTAGCGACTCACCATCGTTTTGCTCGGGGTTCGACCCTAGGTACGTTTTACCGGTTAATATGGAATAGATAGACTATGTATTATTTGATATATAGCCTATAACCTTCATCAATAAACGGGCTATCTAATGCAAAAGTATTTCTCACATCGGATTACTTGTTCCTGAGATTAGCGTGTTCAAGAAAACAAACAAATAAACTCTGCCAAAAATCATAATTTCAGTATATTTATATACGTAGATTACAGCTTTTTCATATTTCTAGGTTGAAAACTGCCTATCGACGTATGAACCGCATGCCTGCGTGGTGGTATACTCGGTGGTTGCGAAGAGTTCCTTCCTCAGAGCTGGAGAACTTCTTGCTTATCTTGCAAGAGAACAGTTCACTGTGGACAGAACTGTTGTTCTGGTTGGAAATAAGGCTGATTTAGCCAGGGCGAGGCAGGTCTCCACTAATGGTAAGTGCTCCTTTATTTTGTCTGTCTATTTGTCATTGTCAATTTTGTTAGTCTAATGATAAGGATAACAGGGTGTCATTAAAGTTCTGCTCAGGTTTTTAAGTTATTTTTATGATATAAGTTACCGCCATATTTTCTTTGAAATTAGAAAATTAATAACTTTAATCTATATAAAGAGTTCAGACCTTGTAAGAATCCCAATCGAGACATCTGGACGGCAATTTTTGTTTTCAAATATTTGTATTTTAATGGAAATTTTACTGTTATACTAAATTTTTTTTAAAACACCCCAAATTCGCTGCGTTTGGGGCAATAAATTAAAATACAGTCAATGTAGCTTTGAACTTTGATCAAAAAAATTGCTACTTGACATCTTCAGTGACCATAAAATTAAATTTACTTATTGTAACTTTTAGATATTTTGATAAATTTTCTTAAGATATTTTATATTTTATTTTTCAGTCTAGCGCACAATTACATAATTTTGTTCCTTTGCAGAGGGCAAGGCTCTGGCCACGTCAAAAGACAGCAAGTTCATCGAGACCTCATCAGGCATTCAGCACAATGTAGACGAACTACTAGTAGGGATCTTAAAGCAAATAAGATTGAAGGAGAATCGGGATAAGAAGCAAGCAAGAAAAAGTGGGAAACAGGTAAATTATAGGAAAACCATTTCATAGATGCCGAAGCAGACCACCACAACAAATTTCATAGATTGCCTTAACCCTATTATCTATATAATTAATATTGTCTGTCTGTGAGTCTTTTGGTCTTCTTTAAAATCTATACCTTTTAAACAATAATAGATAGTTGGTGTTGCTGAATCGATATTTTACATGCGCGCTTTATTCTTATTATGTATTGCGGATAACGAAATTCGTATTTTTGCTAACCGAACCGAGATCAATCAATTAGAAGCATTCAAACTTTTAGCATCCATCGTTAAAGATAGAGTAACTAAGTGCTTAAGAGTGAAAGTTTTTTATATGATATTTGCTATGTATAGAATAAAATGTACGAAAAATATATTAATAAACATGATATAAAGTACATATGTGCACATACATATATAATCAGTGCCGGATTTAACCTTAGCGCCGCCCGTGAGCACTGTAAAAAATGCCGCCCTTTTATAGACATTTTGAATAAAATGTTGAAAGTTGTAAATTTTATTAATAATTATTTTCATAAAAAATGCAAAAAGTGTATAAATGATACCTATAAATTTTTCGAAAATTGTATTGACTAGTTAATCTTTTCTTGTTTTTCATTGTTTGGAAAATAAAAATAAAATGTTCCCGCCCACAGAATTTTGACGCCCCTAAAAATTTGGCGCCCTGGGTACTAACCCCACAAGGCCGTAGTGTAAATCCAGCGCTGTATATAATTAAAAGTAGGAAGCGGAAAAAGTTCATGATAATTTAATTATGACTAGATAGTAAATAAATGAAGGTTGTTTATTATTATAAATATCAAAATAAAAAAATAAAAAATAACCGAGTAATAAAAAATAAATTGTCAACTAAAAAGCACTACTTCCTCCAGCCTTAACAAAATTTATTAGCACTCGTTGAACGAATATACTGTATACTTTATTATGTTTATCTGACAAAACGTAGCTTCTAATGGAATAAAAAAATATAAATTTCGATACTAATTAATTATTTTTATGTGAACAAAATATTTTCTATTGTCTTTTATTTACTTAAAGGTCATTACCTTTTAAAATAATAAATTTTAACCTTAAACAAGCCAAAATAGCTGTACCATTTGTTCGATTAATTAGATCCTACACGAAAGTTGATTAAAATTCCCTAAAGAGATTGCCTCAAAAGCTCGAGGCCTTGTTGAAAATCTTCCTAGCTATACTTTCGAGATCACTTTTGTGATTGAAATTGTATACTTGGTATTGAAATATTTTGAATCTAAGGAATAATGTTAATTTACAATATTTTTCAAATTCATTTCATTTACGTATTTAATATTTTTTTATAAATAAACTTTTAAGCTCAGACCAATCTAGATACCAAAAAAAAATTTCTTTCCTCTGAAAAAATAATAGATTAGTTTAAAAAAAAAGAACTTTAACAAAGAGAGGAAGAGGTTTTAGTGAATGATTGATGGTTAATGTTAGTAATCAAACCTGACAGAATTAATTTATCTCGGTCTGGTAAAAACAAAAAAAAATCACCAAGTAAATAGAATGCAGAAAACATAATATACTAGAGAGGGGTTTTTTTATGTATGTTCACCGATTACTCGAAGATGCCTGAACCGATTTGGAAATTTTGTTAGATATGAATATTTTAAGATATGAATATCTAATAGGTAAATATGTATTTTACGTATCAAAATATATTAGATTTGCTTTGCATCGGCTGGCACCGACTTCGAAAGTATCTGATTAGGTATCTATTCTAAATGAAAACCTCCGTTTAGTTATTTTTTACATTTTAGTGCCTGGAAGTCGGTTATTTTTTTTTTAAGTTTTGTTACAAGTAAATACAAGTTTTATTGAATACGTTCTTTCATATCATAGAAGAAATAATAAAATATTGTTGTAACTATACAGGAATCCAAACCATCGAAGCTTGCAAGCTCCCGCACTCATATTTCTCTCAGCATTGCTCGTGAACTACTGCAGAAGATTTGCATCAATGACATATCCAAATCAAAATCCTGCGAAAATCTACACGTTTTATAAATCTTTAACATATTAGTAGCATGGGGCTCACACAAATCACTCTAGAATCCTTAAAGAGTAAAAATTTTAAAAATATATATAAGTGAACAATTTGATCGTTATGCCATTAAATATATATGTTATATCCATATATTTTTGTAGATTTTTTCTCTTCAAAGATTATAGAATGATACTTTGACTAAGCCCCATCCATTGTGACTTGATCTCTTTATGTGTCTACTTTACATAAATTCAGTATTAAGGGGGTTGAAAACTTTTAGAATATACTATATAATTAATTTAAATTTTTTTACTATACAATGTCTTCTACATAATAATCGTTTGTTTTTTAATACGCTACATATCGAATTTTCCCTTGACATTGCCATTTTGCAAAACTGTTTTATATACTTACAGTTAATTTTTACCTATCTAAGTACTTATATATTTGTTTCATTTTTCTCAGTAGAAAGAAGAAAATTAACAATAATATACTTATTGATACTATCTACGAGTACTTTGTTGTGTACCGCTTCACCCATCATAGATTCAACTTCGTTATTTAAATTCTAATTTATAATTATAACTTACTAGCAGAACCTGCGGCTTTGGTCGCGCTAAAACTCATATAAACTTTCATCCCCTATTATTATAAAAATGCTAAAACACGTATTTATTTAATTAGATTTCAATATTGCCCTCCATACAAAAAATCACACCAATCCGCCACTCCGTTTTGACGTGAAAGAAAGACAAACAAACAAAAAATATTAGTATGGATTGTAAAATCATTAAACTTTGAAAGTTATATCTACGTTGCTTTTCGTGATACGTCGCCATTTCATAATTGAAAACATAAGATGGTCATTGAATAAATCTCAGCTCTAATTAAAACCCGCAAAGCTGCTTGTGAGAATAACAAAGGAGATGAGAGAAAAGAAAAAATGATAAAAGGTAAGTCAATACGATCTATTCAAATTGTATTAAGATATCGTTGTTGGAGTTCAGAATTTATCATTGTATTTTAAAAGAAAATATTAAACCTGTTATTAAATATTGGAAATGGGTATAAGAGTTGACACTTTATTCTTGTTGTAGAAAGAACTGTTAGATTTAAGGGTATAGTAAGCATTTTATTTACTATTTTTTTATTTAATTCGATAATATATTAAGTTTTCAAAACATGTATTTACAGAATGCTACGTTAAGTTGAGTTGTACTTCACTATATTTTAAAGATTTTACGGTTCCACAGTTACTATATAATATTGCTTTATAAAGTTAGTTTCAAATTTTAATTTATTTTCTTATTATTCACTAGAAACGAAGAAGCGAATCAAATTTAAAAAAAATATACATATTAATTTCTTATAATAATATATTTCTTTTATTTTATATGAAAAGACAAATTTTAATATTCTTTTTTACATGGAATCAAATCAAGAATTGAAGTTATTCCCCATTCTACGAGCATTTGCGAAGTAAACAGTAGCACGTTTAAAAGTCATGAACAAAGACTTACATTGAAAATTTTCAGTTTATTAAGAAGAGGTAGCCCTAAATATATTTTTTTAAATTGTTTTTTTTTGCTTTTGCCCTTTTTAAAAATTGTTTTTTTTTTATATTTGGACACTCAATTGATGCCTGCTCTCCCTAATTACATATTATTTTGCAAATAACTTTCAATATTTCAACCGATTTTCACTTACTCGGTCAATTTATTCACACGTATATATATCATAAAATTATCAATCTTATTTAACATTACCAATGTTCTTTCAGTACTCGAAATTCAACCATAATCATTATTGAGAATTTGAGGAAAACATGTACGAGTATGTATGAATTTACAAGAATTTTTATTGATAAAATTAAAGCTAGTCAAGAGCTACTCAGTAAAAAAAAGAAAATTATTTGACAAACAGAGGAGCAGAAGGTACTGAACTGTTTTGCCTTTGCCTATTTATATACATATATAGACTAGCGGCTCACCCTCGCTTCGCTCGGATTCGTCGCTAGGTACGTTTTAAATAGATATAAATCGTTATTAGCCAGCGTTAGCCATATAAATTTAAATATTTTTTCTCGTTAATTTTTCTGATGTTTTAATACTTATTATCCTATTCCGGACTAAAAGAAATCCAATAAATCAAATATCATAAAAATTGGTACAGCCGTTCTTGAATTATAAATGGTGTAACTAAGACGACTTTGTTTTATATATTTATTTACCTTATTTTATATTTTTTCTCTGTATTAAAACTTTCCGTGTACCTTAAGGAACATACGAAAAAAAGTAGTAGCTGATCGAGCCGTTATTGAGTTTTGCGCTTAGCAACATTTATTTTTATTAATATAGATTTTAACAACTTACTTTCTTTATACTGTCTATATAAATCAACATTAATTCAAAATGAAATAAGCCCTTAAAATATTCTGCCACTACATATAAAACTTGTCGGCGTATGTTAAGGTTGTTAAATCTAATTTACGGTGTTTTTCTTTGGGATTCGTGGTGTATGGAAACAAAATGGGCCCTTGGGCCCTTTTATCTAGGCATTTCAGTTGAGTAGATTTTCTTATACTTTACTATGTTACCTACATATGCGTATAAAACATATCTTCGAAGTCAATTTGGTTTTACATCATTCAAGTATTTTAAAATGATACGAAGATATGAAAATTTGAATTGTTTTTTTGTTATAATACTATTATTGAATTTTCTTTCAAGAACAACTAATTTCTAGGTTCAAAATAATATTCTATAAAAGTACAATAGAATAAGAAATATATAATATAAGGAGTTTCTAAGATTTTTTTCTAAGACGCAGACGAAAGGCGCCTTGTAGGACAAATCAAGTCATTTGAAACACCCACGTGTCAAGATTATACAGATAATGACGCAACACGTGTTTTTTTCTTTGCTATATTTATGTATTCATAAACTATATATTAGGAATGTCTCCAGTTTTATAAATCGATGTTTTTTTTTATTTATCTTATATTTTAATTATCTTTAGTATTTATAATAGATTATATTTAATTTTAAATGTATAAGAAAATAGTCATTGATAAAACTTTTTGAACTACACGTATATTATAATAATAATTTTTACTATAACATTTATATAAAATATCTTCGTATTATATATCGTATTCTACTATAAATAAGGTGTATTTAGATGTACTGAGTGTCAGTATTACGTAACTATAGAGAATATTACGCTTCGTATTTAAATATAGAATGTAAGTTCACATGTTATTGTTAGATAACTAACTATATTTTTCTATGTAAAACTTTCTACAATTTTTATAATATAATCCGTTTTATGTTTTATCTGTGCCACAAAAATTAAACATGGCGACTTTTAAAGCTATCATTTGACATATTAATAAACTGTGGCACAAATAAATTATAGACATAAAACTTTGTGGTACTCTTCTTTAAACATGTTATTCTAATTAAAAATTAAGTTTTCTCATAGGCTGATTGTGTTTCTATCAAAAATATACCTTGACTAGTTTATTATTTTTTATAGTGCATTAGTTTCTGCCCGCGGCTGCACCTAATGATTTTTATTTTGTCACAGGAATGGATCTAGAGTTAAAGTTTGGAGAGAATCAGAGATTGAAGTCTCGCGAATATTCACCATTAAACAATAAAAATATTAATTTAAAAAATATTATAATCTTTTTCAAAAGTAATTACTAAGGACTTTACAATTACTTGGTTTTTAGATTCTATCATCTCAATGTAAGATTTGAGTGAGGAGCAAAATTATAGTTTTCAATAAATTATGTTTATATATTTGACCCTGCGGGTCAATAACTAAGTAACGAGTCTAATAACTAATTAAATTAAACATTATTTTTACTTGAGAATGGACTAACGTAAAGCGGGTAGCTCAAGAAAATATTGAATTTACATTAATATAAACTTCAATGCAAAGAGGTGGGTACATGGTATAGGCCACCACGCTTGCCTAATGTGGATTGACACGCTTCGCATGTCTTACAAAAATTAGTTACGTTCTCTGAGACGTGAAGATTTTCTCACGATGTTTTCCTTCATTGTGAGGCGAAGCGTAATCATGTTGAAAATGATTCAAACATAAACAATTCAAAGGTGCAGGGGCTACCGGCTACCATTTCCTGATCTATACATATACATATATACTTAATAAATTTGTAACTAAATCGAATCTGTATATTAAATATTTTTTGGAAAATCTAATTGAAAAAGAGATTATTATCGAGACTGAGTCCGAATCTATAGTTTTTAGAATTTTTGCCTGTCTGTGTGTTACCGCATCACGAGAAAACCACTGGATAGATTTTGATGAAATTTGGTATGATGATAGCTGGTTATCCAGGTCAACATATAGGATACTTTTTACTGCGGGAAAATATCTAATTTCTGAGAAAAATACAAGGCGGCCGTTTAGAATTGGGGACTTGGCCCCTAGCGGAGTGGGTGGTATTTCTGGATAAGGGACGTGATAGGGAGTCGAAATGTTAAATAAATTTTTTAATACAACAAAAGAGTCAAAAGTTATTGAGACTTAAAGTTATAACATTTCCATACATTATTTTGACATTACTACCATTTAGACACTTGGAGTCAAAACGTCACTTTCAATTGTCAAAATGATCTCCAGATGATTGTCTTTATTTGTACTTTGCGTGAAATTCGAATTTTCTAGTTTTCTAGTCATTTATGGCACTCGCCGGCCGCTACCGCGGCACGCTCGCTTCGCTCGCTCGGCTCGTGCGTTGTGGCAACTGTTCTAACCTTTTTTTTTTTTTTTTGTCAGGAAACCCTGTTGCCGGGTACCCGCCGCCTGGGGAAGAACGACGGGTTATGTGGGACTCCTGCCGCGCAAAAGGTGGTAAACGCGCGGCAGCCTACCCACTAAAACCTGACTATGTCCTCCTCATTCGCCTCCAGGTCGGGGCCACGGGAACTAGAGAATCATCCGCGAACCCCGACGGCGCTTGCCCTACGGCACGTCTCTGTGT